ATTTATTTTGGGTTGTTCTTTTGTGGTAGGTTATGGTAATAAAAAACTTTTCCCTTTAAATCCTACACCATATAAAGTGTTTGTAGCACTCAATAACTAATCAAACATAAAAATAACTATATAACCTTAAACAATTCATATAAAGAATACATTTAAAAAACTAAACAAATTATGTGCAAAAGCAATTAATAAAATTAATGTGCAAAATATAATAGTGCAAAAACATAAACAAATTCATATAAATTCCAATTCAAATAAATTCCATACACCACCAGTCCATACAAAAGTTCACACAGTAATAAATTGCAAGCCTTCAACTTTAAACGTGTGCTACAATATGCTTTAAGACTTGTGCTCCAGATGTAGCAATACACTTTAGAACTTGTGCTCCAGGTGCTGCAATACACTTGCCCAGTGTGACTCCACCACCACTATTACACATTTCCATAAGAGGTTAAGACAGCATTCTCAGGAGTAAACTCTTGGCTGTACAATCCAGGTAGCCTGTTTCTCCCCTTGGTGGAACTCACGCTGGCTTGACACTTCCACAGACAACCATCAAAAGGTGCATTATCCACTCAAAAATAAATAAAAGTTCTCCATGGCCCAGTATAATTTTTAACAGAAGGAATGTTTATTGAAATAATTAGAGATGAGCGAAGTATTCAAAAATTCGATTCGACTGATTCGGTGAATTCGTGGAAAAATTTCGATTCGAGTCGAATATATTCGCTGCGAATTTAACTTATAAAAGGGTGTTTCTAGGCTTCAGAGAGCCTTTATATTAGTGCAGAACACTGTACCTTTAATTTAAATGCCCTTGGAGTCTGCTGGGGAAGAGAAATAATACTGACAGTCAGTATGACATGCAGATGAGTGCCGTCGATCTTAGAATCACCGCACACTTCACTCATTTGGGCAGTCACGGGGCCAAAACCAGAGTGTGGAGTCACAGTGTGGCGGTGGAGGCAGCAGCAATGGGAGGCCATACAGCACCCTATGACAAAATGGAACCCACCAGCAGTGTGAGGAGACCTGAAAGTGGCACATGGCAGAGTGTGGCGATGGAGACAGCAGCAATGGGAGGCCGTACAGGGACCCATGAGACACTGTGGACCTGGCAGCAGCATGAGGAGGCGGTACAGGGGCCCATGGCAGATTAGGGGCCTGGCAGCAGCTATGGGAGGCCCGTAATCTGCCAGCACCCTATGACAAAAAATGGAACACACCAGCAGTGTGAGGAGACCTGAAAGTGGCACATGGCAGAGTGTGGCGATGGAGACAGCAGCAATGGGAGGCGGCTCGGGACCCATGAGACACTGTGGACCTGGCAGCAGCATGAGGAGGAGGCAGTACAGGGGCCCATGGCAGATTAAGGCCTGGCAGCAGCAGCAATGGGAGGCCCGTAATCTGCCAGCACCCTATGACAAAATGGAACCCTGGGCTGGGGCAGGCAGAACCGCCGTATCTTTATCACGGTTTTCCCAGGCCACCAAATGGCAACGCTGCATATGCTGACGCAACGCTGTAGTCCCAACATGGGCCCCCTGGCCACGCTTGACTTTCTGGCAACATAGTCGACATACGGCTACGTTTACTTCCTCGGGCGGCTTGACGAAAAATTGCCACACCGCCGAGTAGGAAACTTTGCCCCCGCTACTCCTCACTGGCTGACTGCTACTTCCTCCGTGCACACCGGCACCACTACTGGCCATGGTGGTAGGCTGCAGTGGAGCTGGTGCTCTACTCCGTGGCCGTTTGCCTCCACTGACACTGCTGCGACCCTGCTGCCTCCTGGCAGCAGCAATGGGAGGCCGTACAGGGACCCATGACACACTCTGGACCTGGCAGCAGCATGAAGAGGCGGTACAGGGGCCCATGGCAGATTACGGGCCTGGCAGCAGCAATGGGAGGCCCGTAATCTGCCAGCACCCTATGACAAAAAATGTAACACACCAGCAGTGTGAGGAGACATGAAAGTGGCACATGGCAGAGTGTGGCGATGGAGACAGCAGCAATGGGAGGCCGTACAGGGACCCATGAGAGACTCTGGACCTGGCAGCAGCATGAGGAGGCGGTACAGGGGCCCATGGCAGATTAGGGGCCTGGCAGCAGCTATGGGAGGCCCGTAATCTGCCAGCACCCTATGACAAAAAATGGAACACACCAGCAGTGTGTGAGGAGACCTGAAAGTGGCACATGGCAGAGTGTCGCGATGGAGACAGCAGCAATGGGAGGCCGTACAGGGACCCATGAGACACTGTGGACCTGGCAGCAGCATGAGGAGGCGGTACAGGGGCCCATGGCAGATTAGGGGCCTGGCAGCAGCTATGGGAGGCCCGTAATCTGCCAGCACCCTATGACAAAAAATGGAACACACCAGCAGTGTGAGGAGACCTGAAAGTGGCACATGGCATGAGACACTGTGGACCTGGCAGCAGCATGAGGAGGCGGTACAGGGGCCCATGGCAGATTAGGGGCCTGGCAGCAGCTATGGGAGGCCCGTAATCTGCCAGCACCCTATGACAAAAAATGGGAACACACCAGCAGTGTGTGAGGAGACCTGAAAGTGGCACATGGCAGAGTGTGGCGATGGAGACAGCAGCAATGGGAGGCCGTACAGGGACCCATGAGAGACTCTGGACCTGGCAGCAGCATGAGGAGGTGGTACAGGGGCCCATGGCAGATTAGGGGCCTGGCAGCAGCAATGGGAGGCCCGTAATCTGCCAGCACCCTATGACAAAAAATGGAACACAACAACAGTGTGAGGAGACCTGAAAGTGGCACATGGCATGAGACACTGTGGACCTGGCAGCAGCATGAGGAGGCGGTACAGGGGCCCATGGCAGATTAGGGGCCTGGCAGCAGCTATGGGAGGCCCGTAATCTGCCAGCACCCTATGACAAAAAATGGAACACACCAGCAGTGTGTGAGGAGACCTGAAAGTGGCACATGGCAGAGTGTGGCGATGGAGACAGCAGCAATGGGAGGCCGTACAGGGACCCATGAGAGACTCTGGACCTGGCAGCAGCATGAGGAGGCGGTACAGGGGCCCATGGCAGATTAGGGGCCTGGCAGCAGCAATGGGAGGCCCGTAATCTGCCAGCACCTTATGACAAAAAATGGAACACACCAGCAGTGTGAGGAGACCTGAAAGTGGCACATGTTTGGGGCATGATTCATGGCGGATTTATTCAGTTGTGTCAGGAACTGGTGGTTTGAAATCCAGACTAATCCACGCCTGATTCATTTTCACAAACGTGAGTCTCTCCACACTTTGGGTGGACAGTCGTGTCCTCCGCGGAGTTACAATACCTCCTGCCGCACTAAACACGCGCTCCGATGCCACGCTACTGGCCGGGCATGACAGCCTTTCAAGGGCAAATTCAGCTAGTTGGGGCCAAAGGTCAAGTTTCGTTGCCCAGTAGCCAAGGGCATTGTCTACCTCGGTTGGCAGGGTGCTGTCCAAGTAAGCCTAAGCCTGTTGTTTGAGGTCCTGCTCCAGGTCCACCTGATGCTGCTGCTGCTGCGGCTGGTTAGTAGTTTCCTCACTGCGCTGGTGAAGAAAGCTACTCATCATCGACTGCAGACTGAGGCAGCCGCTGCTGGTGGAGCTGCCATTGCTCCTACCACCCCACCCCTCCCCTGCTGCCATGGCAGCGGAACGCGAGCGCACAGGGCCCACAGTGTCTGAGGATGGACGTTGGCGCAGAAAGGCAGAGACCAGCTGACTACATAGGTGGTTTTTATAGTACGTTATTTTGGCCTCCCTCTCAGCAGGTGTGAAAAATGCCACCATTTTTGAATGGTAGCGAGGGTCCATCAAGGTGGACAGCCAAAAGTCATCCCTCTGTCTGATGGTTATTATTCAGCTGTCGCTACGCAAGCAAGCGAGCATGCTATGGGCCATTTGTGCCAAGGAATGCGAGGGACTCCCTGCCTCCATCTCCACAGCATACTGCCACGGTGCGTCTGGGTCCTCTGTCTCCTCCTCCTCCTCCTCTACCAGATGCTCCTGCTCCTCCACTCCTATCCGCTGAGTGGAAAAACCACCCATTTCACTAAATAATTCCTGAGCACCAATGTCCTCCTCTACCTCCTCCTCTTCTTCCTGTCCTGCCCCCACAGGGGTCATGTGGCGTTGAGATCTGTGCGCCACGTCTACCGCACCCTGACCAGCCATTGTTAACAGCATTTGTTCCAGGACGTGCAACAGAGAAATGACGTCGTTCATCCCATAGTCCTGCCGACTCACGAATAGCGTGGCCTCCTCAAAGGGCCTGAGCAAGCGGCAGGTGTCACGCATGAGCTGCCAATGGCTGACATCTAAGTTACACAGGGAGTACCTTTATCCGCTTGTAACATCAGGAAATCTGTGATGGCCTTTCGCTGTTTGTAAAGGCGTTCTAACATATGTAGGGTTGAATTCCACCTAGTTGCAACGTCACAGCATGAGGAGTCGGTACGGGGGCCCATGGCAGATTACGGGCCTGGCAGCAGCAATGGGAGGCCCGTAATCTGCCAGCACCCTATGACAAAAAATGTAACACACCAGCAGTGTGAGGAGATCTGAAAGTGGCACATGGCAGAGTGTGGCGATGGAGACAGCAGCACTGGGAGGCCATACAGGGACCCATGAGAGACTGTGGACCTGGCAGCAGCATGAGGAGGCGGTACTGGGGCCCATGGCAGATTACAGGCCTGGCAGCAGCAATGGGAGGCCCGTAATCTGCCAGCACCCTATGACAAAAAATGGAACACACCAGCAGTGTGAGGAGACCTGAAAGTGGCACATGGCATGACACACTGTGGACCTGGCAGTAGCATGAGGAGGCGGTACAGGGGCCCATGGCAGATTAGGGGCCTGGCAGCAGCTATGGGAGGCCCGTAATATGCCAGCACCCTATGACAAAAAATGGAAGGAGGCGGTACAGGGGCCCATGGCAGATTAGGGGCCTGGCAGCAGCTATGGGAGGGCCCGTAATCTGCCAGCACCCTATGACAAAATATGTAACACACCAGCAGTGTGAGGAGACCTGAAAGTGGCACATGGCAGAGTGTGGCGATGGAGACAGCAGCAATGGGAGGGCCGTACAGGGACCCATGAGACACTGTGGACCTGGCAGCAGCATGAGGAGGCGGTACAGGGGCCCATGGCAGATTAGGGGCCTGGCAGCAGCAATGGGAGGCCCGTAATCTGCCAGCACCCTATGACAAAAAATGGAAACACACCAGCAGTGTGTGAGGAGACCTGAAAGTGGCACATGGCAGAGTGTGGCGATGGAGACCAGCAGAAATGGGAGGCCGTACAGGGACCCATGAGAGACTCTGGACCTGGCAGCAGCATGAGGAGGCGGTATAGGGGCCCATGGCAGATTAGGGGCCTGGCAGCAGCTATGGGGAGGCCCGTAATCTGCCAGCACCCTATGACAAAAAAAATGGAACACACCAGCAGTGTGAGGAGACCTGAAAGTGGGCACACGGCATGAGACACTGTGGACCTGGCAGCAGCATGAGGAGGACTGGGGCGGTACAGGGGCCCATGGCAGATTAGGGGCCTGGCAGCAGCTATGGGAGGCCGTAATCTGCCCAGCACCTATGACAAAAAATGAAACACACAGCAGTGTGAGGAGACCTGAAAGTGGCACATGGCAGAGTGTGGCGATGGAGGACAGCAGCAATGGGAGGCCGTACAGGGACCCATGAGAGACTCTGGACCTGGCAGCAGCATGAGGAGGGTGGTATACAGGGGCCCATGGCAGATTAGGGGCCTGGCAGCAGCAATGGGAGGCCCGTAATCTGCCAGCACCCTATGACAAAAAATGGAACACACCAGCAGTGTGTGAGGAGACCTGAAAGTGGCACATGGCAGAGTGTGGCGATGGAGACAGCAGCAATTGGAGGCCGTACAGGGACCCATGAGAGACTCTGGACCTGGCGCAGCATGAGGAGGTGGTATAGGGGGCCCAAGGCAGATTAGGGGCCTGGCAGCAGCTATGGGAGGCCCGTAATCTGCCCAGCAACCCTATGACAAAAAATGGAACACACCTAGCAGTGTGAGGAGACCTGAAAGTGGCACATGGGCATGCCAGACACTGTGGGACCTGGCAGCAGATTGAGGCAGGGTTACAGGGGGCCCATGGCAGATTAGGGGCCTGGCAGCAGCTATGGGAGGCCCGTAATTGCCAGCACCCTATGACAAAAAATGGAACACACACCAGCAGTGTGAGGAGACCTGAAAGTGGCACATGGCAGGGGCATGATTCATGGCGGATTTAGTCAGTTGTGTCAGGAACTGGTGGTTTGAAATCCAGACTAATCCATGCCTGATTCATTTTCACAAACGTGAGTCTCTCCACACTTTGGGTGGACAGTGTGTCCTCCGCGGGTTACAATACCTCTCTGCCGCACTACAAACACGCGCTCGATGCCACGCTACTGGCCGGGCATGACAGCCTTTCAAGGGCAAATTCAGCTAGTTGGGGCCAAAGGTCAAGTTTCGTTGCCCAGTAGTCAAGGGGATTGTCTACCTCGGTTGGCAGAGTCAGGGTGCTGTCCAAGTAGGCCCCAAGCCTGTTGTTTGAGGTCCTGCTCCAGGTCCACCTGATGTGCTGCTGCTGCGGCTGGTTAGTAGTTTCCTCACTGCGCTGGGTGAAGAAAGCTACTCATCATCATCGACTGCAGACTGAGGCAGCCGATGCTGGTGGAGCTGCCACACTGCTCCTACCACCCCACCCCTCCCTGCTGCCATGGCAGCGGAACGCGAGCGCACAGGGCCCACAGTGTCTGAGGATGGACGTTGGCGCACAAAGGCAGAGACCAACTGACTACATAGGTGGTTTTTTATAGTACGTTATTTTAGGCCTCCCTCTCAGCAGGTGTGAAAAAGGCCACCATTTTTGCAAACGGTAGCGAGTAGGGTTCCAACAAGGTGGACAGCCAAAAGTCATCCCTCTGTCTGATGGTTATTATTCGGCTGTCGTACGCAAGCAAGCGAGCATGCTATGGGCCATTTGTGCCAAGGAATGCGAGGGACTCCTGCCTCCATCTCCACAGATCACTGCCACGGTTTGCGTCTGGGTACCTCTGTCTCCTCCTCCTGACCCTCTCCTCCTCTACCAGATGCTCCTGCTCCTCCACTCCTGTCCGCTGAGTGGAAAAAACACACCCTTTTCACTCAATAATTCCTGAGCACCAAAATGTCCTCCTCTAACCTCCTCCTCTTCTTCCTGTCCTGCCCCCACAGGGGTCATGTGGCGTTGAGATCTGTGCGCCACGTCTACCGCACCCTAGACCAGCCAATTGTTAACAGCATGTGTTCCAGACGTGCAACAGAGGAATGAGTCGTTCATCCCATAGTCCTGCCGACTATACGAATAGAAGTGGCCTCCTCAAAGGGCCTGAGGCAAGCGGCAGTGTCACGCATGAGCTGCCCAATGGCTGACATCGAGTTACACAGGGGAGTCCTTTATCCGCTTTTGTCAAACATCATGAACGAATCGGTGATGGCCATCGTGTTCGTAAAAGGCACGGTCTACCATGTGTAGGGTTGAATTCCACCTTGTTGCAACGCGTCGCAGATCAGGCGATGCTTTGGAATCGAAGCGTTCTGACCGCTGCAGCTCAAGGAGGGTCCATGCTTTGCGGTGTAGGGAGATTTGAGCTAGCATGCAAGGTTTACGTGACATTTTAGGAATGTCTTGCCTAGTGGGATGGTGGATTTTAGGAAACCGCTTGACAATAAGATTGAACAGTGAGCCATGCATGTAGCAGCAGTGAGGACCTTGCAAGACAGGAAAGTGGACACTGAGCATGAGAGTACCGGAGTTGGTCAGACCTGAACAGAGTGAGAGGAGTGTGCGCGGAGAAGCCACTGCAGATTTTCAATATGTTCCGTACAGGGACCATGAGAGGACTCTGGACCTGGCAGCAGCAATGATGGAGGCGGTACAGGGGCCCATGGCAGTATTAGGGGCCTGGCAGCAGCTGAGTATGGAGGCCCCGTAATCTGCCAGTACACCCTATATGACCAAAAAAATGGTTAACACACCAGCAGTGTGAGGAGACCTGAAAGTGGCACATGGCAGAGTGTGGCGATGGAGACAGCAGCGAAATGGGGAGGCCGAGTACAGGGACCCATGGAGAGGGTCTCTGGACCTGGCCAGCAGCGAATGAGAGGAGGCGTGTTATAGGGGGCCACATGGCAGATTAGGGGCCTTGGCAGCAGCTATTGGGAGGCCCGTAATCTAATCCAGCACCCTATCAACAAAAAATGGAACACACCATGGCATGCCCCGGTGAGGATGACCTTGAAAGTGTTGCACATGGTCTGAGACAGTGTGGACCGACTGGAAGACAGCAGCAATGGGTAGGAGGCTCGTACAGGGAGCCCATGATCAGACTACTCAGGACCTGGCAGCAGCATACGAAGGAGTCGGTAACGGGAGGGCCCTATGGCAGAATATAGTGGGCCTGGCAGCAGCTATGTGGTAGGCCCCCGTAATCTGCCAGCACCCTATGACAAAAAATGGAACACACCAGCAGTGTGAGGAGACCTGAAAAGTGGCACATGGCATGAGACACTGTGGACCTGGCGGCAGCATGAGGAGGCAGTACAGGGGCCCATGGCCAGAATAGGGGCCTGGCAGCAGCTATTGGGAGGCCCGTTTATCTGCCAGCACACCTATGACATAAAATTGTAAACACCAGGGGAGGGGTGAGTGAGGACCTGAGGGTTGCACCATGGCAGGGGTTGATTCAATGGCGGATTTAGTCAGTTGGAGTGGGGTGATGTAGTTGGTTGTTTGTTTGGACTAAATCCATGTGATCATGTTTCACAAACGTATGATGAGTCTCTCCACTGTTTGGGTTGGGGGTCGTGTCCTCCGCGGATTTTACGATGACGTCCTGGTGAATTGATAACACGCGTAAATCTCGATTGCCACGCTATTGGCCGGGCATGTAGATGGACTTATCAAGGGGTAGCTTTTTGTGTGCGCGATAGGGCAAGTTGTCGGCTAGCCAGAATCTGGGTGATTGACCTCGGTTGGGCAGGGAGTGCGTGCTAGGGTATAGGCCCAAGCCTGTTGAGCGAGGTGGCTGATGGGGTACCTGATGCTGCTTGGTGCTGCGGGTCGGGCTTGTTGTGGATTCCTCACTGGGCTCTGGTGGAAGGTGTATCATCGATGTGGGTGCGAGGAGGAGGAGCAGCTGCTGGTGAGATGTTCGCCACTGCTCCTACCACCCCACCCCTGTTTGCTGCCAAATAGGGGTGTGGAACGCGAGCGTAGAGGGCCCACAGTGTCTAGGAGTATAGGATGGACGTTGGCGGGCAAAGGGAGTGGCCGCGGCGGTGATACATGGTGGTTTTTCGAGTACGTTAGTTTTGGCCTCCCTCTCAGGGGGTAATTGGGGTGAACGGTTAGCGAGGGTTCCAAACATGGGGGACAGCCAAAGTCATTCTGTATGATGGTGTATTTTTCGGCTGTGTGACGCAAGCGCGAGCATCGGCTATGGGCCATTTAGTTGCCAAGTGGGAATAGTGATGGGACGCCCTGCCTATCTCACACAGATACTGCCACGGTGGTGGTGGGTCCTCTGTCTGTCGCGCTCCTCCTCTACCAGGAATGCTTCCTGGTGTGATCATGTCCGCTGAGGTGGAAAAAAAAAACCACCCATTTCACTAAAGTGATTCCTGAGCCACCAATGTCCTCTCTACGCTACTCCTCTTTGACCAGTTGATGTAGTAGTAAGATGGAGGGGTCAAGTAGAAAATGATTGAAATCTGCAGCGGACTACCGGCACCCTATTACCAGCCATACTGAAAAAAGGCAATCTGTGTCAGGAACTGTGCAACATGAGAGAATGACGTCATGTCATCCCATAGTTCATGCCGAATCAGACATAGGCGCTGGCCTCCTCAGTAGGAAGCCTGGGTAGTGTAGGGTTGTGAATGTTGGCAATGGTTATGGTTACACAGGAAGGTACCTTTATGTGGTGTAACATGGCGAGTGACGTGCAGATAGGGTTCGAGTTCAGTAATAGGAGGGTTAAAGTATCATGTTGTAGGTTGAATGTTAACAGATTTGCAAGCGTGCAGGATCAGGGATGCTGGGAATTCCGTTCTGGCTGCAGTCAAGGGAGGTGTGGCTTTGCTGTGTAGGAATGGCTGAAATTGCATGCGTGGTTTGGCTTGCATTTGGTAAGGATTTCTGTGGGGGGGTGGTGGATTGTTAGACAACCTGTTTGACAACCAGATTGAACACGTGTTTTGTGGCGCAAACCTATCCTTGACGCAGAGCAGGACACCCATGTTGTGTTCCGTATTGGGTACAGATACATGGGGTTCCGAATTTTCAGTTTGCGCGGAGGCCCGATAATGCGTGCAGTTATGGATTGAGCACACCAGCTTGGTTTTTGTTAGAGGAGGACGTGAGAGGGTGGTGTGTTGGGCATTGTTGGCGGATGGCGGGCGGTAGGGGGGCAGCGCTACAGGGAGGTGTTGAGGGGGACTCTGGTTTTCGCATGCGCTGAGGTTGGCTGGGGTGGTATACTAGGGGCTTAGATGTAATTTGCAGGTTTTTAATTGGTTGGAGTTTTTGGCCATTGTGTCGCAGCTTGGATGGGCCCGTAATCTGACCAGCAACCTAACAAAACAATTGGGAAACGGGCCACAGCTAGCAGTGTGAGGAGACATGTATATAGTGGACTCATCATGGGGCTTGAGTGTGGTC